GTGGTTTTACTAAATGTATGGAAGCTGGAAACATTGAATTTTCTGATAGATCCAGTTTATTCTGGAACCTATTATTAGTACCATTTGAAAGAGCTTGTGAAGCACTTTCAGAATCAGTAATCAGTTTTTCGATATCTTGTATAGTTTAGAAATAATCGAGTGAGATCACTTAACGTTTCCACCCTGTATATTTTGTAATCACACTAGTCCCTTGTACTCGTAGACCTATTTATTAAGTAGGTAGGTACTTTATTAAGCGCCACCAGGTTATGAAAAGTACCTAATTATTAAAAAAAATATCTAGATCAAACTAAGGCAGAAAAGAACGATCTTTAGTTTAAGTACACGTCAATTGAAAGAAAAAAGAAAAAAACATTTAATGCTTATTAAAATATAGTACAAAATTTAAATTATTATATAATATTTTAAGTGCTTCTATTTATGTAATAGATGTATAGCAGGTACATATTATTATAACCAGAGTGGTGAAGTAACTTGATGCTTGAAAATATTTATTGCAAATATTAATTAAATGCACCATAAATAGACACCCAACTTTGGATTCGGACCGATGACCTGCCTCATAACATGAGTAAGTAAAACCGGATAAACTTGTCCAGTTAAATTAAAACTGACTTAATTATAATAACACTGGATTATATTCTGAGAATTCTGCGTAGGTATACATACAAACTGAAACCATAAGACTACTAAATTATAAATAAAAATAAAAGATGTAAAACCTACTGTTTGAATGTTGTAAAGCTATGGAGCCAGCTTTCAGGTTGTATACTCCATGAAGCTAAAGATAAAAATGGAGGGCAAAGTTGGAACAAAAATTTGAGTCAAATACCTACTTATATCTATCTCGCTCTCTGTGGCCCTACCTCTCTTTTTAGTGTGAACTGTAGTATTGCTATCTTCTTATTTAAATCTCCTTGTAAATTTTTCGAAATAGCCAATTCACTAACCAAATCAGAAGTTAAACAAATAAATAATTAATATTTGAAACTAAGATTACCTAGTTAAATAAAAAATCACAAAATTGTCGGCCATTTTGGCTTAATGTGTTGGCGAATCAGGGAATTACAATCCCAATTCCTGGGTAATCGGTACCATGTGGCAACATCGGCCCAATCCGGCCCATCATGGCGGTTGTTTACTATTTTGTTTATTAAGCAGTTAATTTCGTTTGAGATTGTTTACAGGAAATAATCATTGTTTTATCACAAGAATTGGTGCAAAATTATGTAGTGCGTGGTTGCGGTAGTACGTGGTGTCCTGGAACTCCTGGAAGTGACATAAGATTCCACGCGTAAGTGTTTATTTCGTGATTTCCGACAATGGATCATTGTAAACATTTTTCACATTTTTTACAGTAATTTCTTCCTAAAACGTTTTACCAGTAATTACACTTATCATTTTTAATGATACCTATGTCAAGAAATAAAGATTTTACATTGAGTTTCATTGAATTTGAGCAATTTTATATTTTTTGTTTATTTAGAAAGAGCGAGTCTGCCCACAGAGAGCGAGATAGTGATACATAGTTTGTGCTTCAAGTAGGTATTCGGAGTGTGGCCTCCATTTTTATCTGTAGCTTCATGGTTTACTCGTTGGTGCCTACTACTCGAAGATCTCAGAAGGTGTTGCTATATTTTTAGATAAAATGTCCCTACGGACAGACTTTTAGTAACCTACTTAGACATCAAATGCATATCAATTTCATCATAGTCATATTACTATGAAGTCGTCATTTATTTTAAGTAGGTTCGATCGTTTCAACCAAATGAAGTCCAGTGCTGGACAAAGACCTCCCTCAAGGATTTCCAAAACGACCAATCTTGCGCCGCCTGCACCGATTGCGCTAATTTTCAATGTAGATCCAAATCATTCGCGCTTCATCTCCAGTCGCACTCCGTTATCATTCTAGCTGATGTGCGATTTGTTGTCACGGTAAAGTTCACGCGCTAACCAAGACAAAACAACAGACTTATGCACTTTTCATTAAAAGTCTGAACACCTTACTTTTGAAACTAAAATTACTAAAACACAGCAAATGTTCTTGAGTCAAAAAAGTGAGTCTTGACTCTTGATCTCCGAAAATAAGAATCTCCACTTCGGCTCATCCTTCGCCACCTCTTGCAAGTTAACGACGTGGAGATTACACAGGTTCTTAGCAACTTCACATTAAACATTGTGCTCAGAAAAAAAATACTGTGCGGGAATCAAACCCGAAACCTCTAGCATAGTGGTCCGTTACGAACCAAAACACCAATAAATAAAACGAAATCCCCCAGATGTAAAGATGTCAATATTTGCTTTAATAAACCTACTGCTACTAACTACTTTCAAAAATGACGAAGTTTGTACCTTAACTTTTTACAAAATATATAATTTATTCTGTAAAATGAATTAATACTCAACATATTTAGCAGCTTGCACAGTTTGAAACAGTATTCCAATCAGTGTGAGTGATATCCCTAAAATGTTGCATTTTATTCTTTACTGGCAACATTACTGTATTCGCACGCGCAGCGAAGCCTTCTCTTGCGCACGCACACACGCATCGCGTTCGTAAACACGTGCCCTATAGCAGGCAAGCATAGACAGTCGATTAGTCGGCGGGTGCAAGGCAGGTAAAGCGCCTTGTGATACCGGTCGGACGACAAAAACGATCGAACGAACGCCTCCACAAAACGAACATTACTGTATATTTAAATGAACTTATACATCGAACTTACACGTATTCGTTAGAGATTTGTGTTGTGTCAGCTATTTCGAAATGAAACGTGTTTATTTATTGAGTCAAGTGCAACGGTATTGAAGAACCAGATTTTGTACTATGTATTGTAGGAATTGATTGTAAACTCGTATGTGTGTGGAAGTCTGTTGACTACATTTCTTTTGTCCCGATGAGGCCATCGGACATGACAAAAAGCTATTGGTAAGTTATATCTATTAATCTACTATAATACTTACTCACTAATCCTTTTTACTTACATTACTTTAAAATTTGCTTACTTACTATCCATAAGCATGAACTATTTGGCTTTTGATTAAGACTAAGTTTAACTTTGCCTTTAAGTAGGTATCTACCTACTTAGGTAGTTACTTAATGTTATTTTAAACTAATTCCATCACATTTAACTGATTTATAAGTTCTGCCAAATAATATTGCTAATTTGTTAGCTAGGTACCGCTTAGCACCTATTTTGTTATGTTGATGTAGGTAATAAGCAGGCAGGTAGGTACTTACCTACCTGTGGTGGAAGGGTTGGACACCACACAGCACAGGCAATTAAGTAGGTATTTTTGCTACAGTTAGGTGCATATCAGCATCGCTTTATAATGAATCAAATGCAGTAGGTCCAATCCAGCAGTCATAACCATACCTACCTAATTATTGGTAGATTATTGCGTTCCTGTTCGTCATTTAAATGAATCTCAAAATGTCTCGTTCGTTCGTTTCAGCCGAAAAGACGTCCACTGCTGGACAAAGGCCTCCCCCAAGGATTTCCACAAAGACCGGTCCTGTGCCGCTCGCATTGTCAAATGTCTCTTAAAATGTCTCATTAATTGCCAAATCCAAAATGAAAACTTGTCACTTTTAAGTTATTCAATGATAAATAACTTCGTCCTATGATTTAGTTACGTAACTACCTACCTACCTACTTATGTTACCATATTTATACCTACCTAGATAAAAACTTTAACAATTTCTTCATTTCAATTCTCTTGACTCCCTATTTCCCTGACTTGGTCAGTTAAATAAACTTGTCTTAAAATATAAATTTAACTTGCTGACTTATTATCGTATTAGAGCGAACCTGCTACGTTAGCCGCTAGTGTGACATCAGGTAGACGGACGAATCGCAAAGAAACAAACTTGAGGACAAAAATATCCGACAAAACGAGTTCCGAAAACGAGGTGCCGACGTTCCTACAGGCAGGGTCTGGATTACATTTTGAAGCGTAAATAATTGACCTAGAATTTTAAAATTAACGCAGATGAGATGGTAAATGTCGACCCAGTAAGAAAATGACCATTCTGGTGATGATCCATCTATGATCTGAGTGATCCATGCTCAGTAATTGGACCGACAATTAAATATCGGCCTTTCACGAAAATTGATTACACAAACTACCGCAATTTAAACTTAGAATTTACATTTTTGACTTCATCTTGTCCAGTCACCATGATGAACAGCAAGCACATCATGGCAGGTAAACCATTATGTGAAGTTGTTAGACGCTATTTTGCAATTGTAAAATGTTGTCGACTCTACATTTATGTATTGTTAGTGCCTATAGCCTTTTTATCCATTTTGAATACCTACTTAGGTAATTTATTTATATACATGTATAGTATGTATATATGTCATAGTCAAAGGTCGATATGCAGTCTCTTCGCGGAATGACTGGTCTATCCTAGGTTTGACCAAAGCCTTCGGGCCAACCCCGAAGTGAATTCTTATTTCGGCCTTTGACTAAGTCAAACCTAGAAGTGCCTAAACTGTTCAGTCAAACGTCGAAACTAAAATAATATGTTTCGGTCTTTGCCTAGTCAATCCTAGAAACGACTGGCAGACTCGGTCAAAAGTAGATGCAGCGTTACAGAGGCCGGCAGCAATTATAGAAAACCGACCAAGTTCGAATCGGATTCACGTACGAAGGGTTCCGTACGACTCTTTTATTGTTATATGGCGAATGGGGATGATTTTTAAAGTGACTATAAAACTAAATATTTTGGGAAAGGCATGAGATACAGCCTGGTGACAGACAAACAGCGAAGTCATAGTAATAGGGTTCCGTTTTTACCCTTAATCCTTTAAGGTACAGAACCCTAAAAATAATAATTTCAAGATCAGTTTAGAAACACTGATAAACTACCGCAGTAAACAAGTTTAGTTATTCGTACTCGTACCTTCACCTAAAGAAAGAACCGGTCGGTAAAGTCTATGTAATAATTTCAATATCAAAATGAAGTGTAGTTTAGTTTAAAGTCTTAATTGAGGTTTGACTAGTCAAACCCCGATTTCATTAAATTCAGTTTCGACGTTTGACTGACCAAATTAGTCTATCCTAGGTTTGACTAACATTCTTTAGTCAAAGGCCGAAATGTTTGGGCTTTGACTAAGACTTCTAGTCAGACCTGAGGATTGACTAGTCAAACCTAGGAGCGCCTGAGCTTCGAGGTTTGACTATAACATATATACTTACCTACTTTGAAAAAATTTAAGGCTTCCTGCCTGTGTCCTGATTTGGCCGAAAACGAATCTAAACTGAACAAAAAAACAATCGCCCATCATTTATTGGTTTGGTTTATAAGATTTAAAATCTTACTCCATTCAGATAGAGATCAAAAATCAATTGCTGTAAGGCATTCGAAGTAGGTGACGTCTTTAAGACTCATTATTCTAATGACTGAGACCACAGTCAGGCAATCTTGATGTTAAATACTGCGTTTAGAATGTGTCACTATCCTTGGATGCTTGGAATATGTTAAATACCTTTATTTATTTATTATTTGCCTTATAAAGACATGATGTTGACGATTGCGTTTCGAACCATTTTAGGCTCATAAGAAATTACGCGCTTTCAAGTGGATACGAATCTACGCTCAAAGTCCCTCTAGTTTCAAGCATGTCAAATATCGAAATCCTTGAGTTTAAGTCGAATTTTGAGTAGGTTTAAAAAAATACGGCCCTAACTGTTAATTTATGATCCTCGTTAGGTAAGAGTTATTGCTTCTTAGAATTTAAATTTAAGTCTGGTGTCGAGTTGCGGAAATTCAATTTAAAAACAAGATGTCTTCCATTAACAATAAGAAACGTGATTGTTTGTTTCGTTAAAGTAACATTTCGAAAGCGTCGGAGTAACTGCATTGTGCGCAATGCAACCTTCCAAGTTATGGCTAGCTAGGACAATCGAAACAGTTCCTGAATTCTTGATTTATTTGTCGACATGACCAACCTCATGTAAAGACGGCTGAATAAATTATTTATTGCCTATATCCGCCGAGTTGAACGCTTGGCCCTTCATATTCTTGTGAAAGTTGCATGTCAATATAAAGTGTCTAGCTGCCTACCAATTACGCACAGGGTAATGCACTACCGGTTACTCGTTTGTAGATGAATTGACCACGGCATTTTAAAAGTCAAAACCTTCCGCGAATAAAATGATGACTCAAAACAAACGAGTGATTCATCACTTGATGGGAAATTCCAAAAACGACATTAGCATTTAAAGACACTTTCTTCTCCTGTAAACCTGATAATTTTGCAATAAGTCTATCTAGGTTATTATCCTAGGTAGGTCTTTCACATAATCGAAAACCAACTAAGTTACTAATCTCAAAGGATTATAAATTAGAACGGAAAAATATTAACTGAGCATTGCTCCAGTTATGAATATTGCATTAGCTACCCAGTCTGGTTGCTAGGGTACACCTGAGACCTGCTGGTTGCAGATATTGCATCACTGGCCAGTGCGACTGCAATGCAATCGTTTAAAAGTTAACTGTTTGCTCGGTACAAAATTAACTGTGCCGTTTTTGACCCACCTTAGCAGATACTGGTTTAAGAGATCGCTGAAAGTCGCACGCAACGCAACCTTTTGTTGTATTAATGGCATCAGGCATGTCAATTTTAAAAGATAAGATAAGCCAATACTTTATAGTACTAATCAATTTCTTATGGTAAGATTTGAGTGTGAAAAGTAAAAGGCCTAAACTCATTCAAAATTGAGTTAGTTGTAGGTACTCGTAGATAGGAAAAATGCATCTAATTTCGATGAGATAGCGTTTTTTATGAAAAAAATACTGTGGCTGAGTTGCACCACCTAACCTTAACCGTAACTATGACGATAACCGGTGGTTTTTGTATAGAGTTTGACGGACTTTTGACGTTTGTTATAGTTAATTATATTTCAGTAATAATGTCATAGTTAAAAATACGAAAAAAATATTTTTATCTCGTCAAAATAGTGGTCCGTCCGCACCATCTTTTTAACATCTTATAAAATTCTTTTTAAAAATCATCCTGTCTCCAGCCATGATCGATGCCGCTATTAATAGACTCGAGAATATTATTCTTGTCTCAAATCTAGTTTCCCAATACAGTTCGGCTCGCAGTGGCGGACGCATTACGTATGCAGCGCAGGCGCAAGCCGACGCATGGACTCCGCAGGACATTGCACCCGAGCGCGCTCCTTTCCTCGCGTAGTCGCGTCTTCTGTACGATGTCTATTGCCACGTATTTAGGGTTGCCAGGTCCAAAAACACAAAAGCCGGACTCTGTGCTTCATTTGGCCGGACATTTTACCCTAAAAGCCGGACATCACCATCGGTTGCCTAACATCCTGCCTGATGCGTGCTCTTGATATTGTTCTGTAGCTCGACTTTTACCTGGCGCGGCAGCCACATAAAAAGCCTAGCCTAACAAAAGCCGGACAGGCCGGACAAGACCGTAAAAAGCAAAACATATCCGTGTCATGCTAAAGCCGGACACCTGGCAACCCTACACGTATTGCTATTGCTAAAGCATCTTGCATTGCATCGGCCGTTTGGTGTAGTGGTTCGAATCGGACTACTATTCCGGAGGTTGCGGGTTCGATTCCCGCACAGTACAAACATTAAATTGTGTGCATGAACATATTTGTTTGTATTGGACTGGGTGTTTTCTATGTTTAATATGTATGTATTTACAAAAAAAAAAAAAAAAGTATTTAAGTATGTTTATATCCGTTGTCTAGTACCCATAGTACAAGCTTTGCTTAGTTTGGGGCTAGCGGCGTAGTGTAAAATGTCCAAAGATATTTATTTATTTTAACAAAAAAAAGCATTGGCCAAACCTGTATTACGATTCACGCATAAACCCATCTCGTGTGTAAAACAAACGCGACCGGAGAAGCTTCAATTCTCGATGTGACGTGATCGAACGACCG